TTTTTTTTTTTTTTTTTTTTTTTTTTTTTTTTTTTTTTTTTTTTTTGAGCCACAGAATTTGATGCAAATGATACAGTGGGAGAAAAACAAAAACGAGGTTCCTGTAGTAACATGAACAATATATTCACATGACTATTTTTTTTCCCCCACAGAATCCTGCTTCATATAAGAGATATAAGTAACCATACTGCAATTTAGCTGAATATGAGGTTTGTAGAGAAATACAGAACTTTTTACATGGTCAAGTTATTCTCCATTTACATTAAAAAAAAAAAATGCAAGACTCTTTCTCTTAAAAAGCAAACTAGTCATTATCCTTGCCACCACAATTATGCTTTTTCTCAAAGAAAAAAAAAAAAAATTAAATAAATCAGCTGAAGGAAAAAAAAAAAAAAAAAGAATAAATTCTAGGTTATCTTGAAAAGAATTCATAAATTTTGCAGTACTTTACCTTGAAATAGCTGTATTTTTTTCCTCGATTTTTAGATATCTTCAGCCTTTACACAGAAAAAAACATTTTTGCAATTCTGCAAATAGTACAGCTAGATGAAGTGTACACGGTGCTTCATTAACATTTGGAATTGTGGTTGTCAAATGAGTGAAATACTGCATAAATGGTGGAGTGTTTTGACACTGCATATTTTAGGCTGCATAGTGTTTTTCAGCATTATACAGCATGAAGAGTGCACTCCATGAGGAAAACTACTGACACTGAGTGAGAGAAGTAATTAGGAACTGGTCATTTAAACACATCAGAAATTGTCTTCCTATTAGCTAACATTTACATGTATCAGTGAATAATGCCAATAATAAAGAAGATGTAACAACTCAAGTTAAAGGCTTTACTCCTTAAAAAGAGAACAATGTCAAACCTCTCACTGTTGAGCAAAAGTATCTTTAAGGACTTTACAATTAATGCTTTCTGAGGTTATGCTCATAGAAGATAAACTCACAGAAAAATTTACGTCATTTCATAAAAAGCTTAGGATCCTCCAGAGATTTCTAAAACAAACTTACTAAATTCCTTAATAATTCCCTTTACATTTGAACTGTTCATTCTCAAACATGCTCTTACTGATGCACTTCTCCCTCGGTATGTATATCAATTCTTGTAAATCTTAAGTGTTGCAAAGTATACCCTACATATTAGTACACTGAATATGAGAATACAGATCTATGTACAAAATGAAATTATTTAGAAGAGTGGCCTGTTTGAGATGATTTTGAGATGAGAAGTGCAAAGCAAAGTGTGTTAAATTATAAATCATTACAAAATATGCTATTCTTTTTTGGAATAAGCTTCTTCTCACTGTTGTCAGCACAGCATCCCTGTAATGTGCAGAGAAATGAATTAAAGGTTTTCTTTGCCAACTCTTTTTAAAAAAAAAAATAAAAAAAAAAAACAACATAGAAGAACAGGAGAATGTGCTACATTTTGAAAGAAATGGAACAGAGTTAAAAAATGCAGCAGACATGCTCCTGAAAACCAGAATCCATTTCCTATTCATCATAACCTCCACCTATTGTAGCCCAACACAACAAGCCCAGAGAAAAGTCTTCATATTACAGCTAAGGAATAGAATACACACTATGGCTATATTATAGGTCACACTCATCTTGGGAAAATACAGTGTGGATGCATTCTGGCAAAGTTGTGCAGGCCCCTCCTGATAAGTTACTGTTTTGTTTTTAATTACTGCATAGGAATTTTGCTTGCTTGCTTCTACTCCTCCAGTTGGAAAATTCTTAACCTGGTATGATGGTGAAACGTGCATTCCCCAAAAGAATGGGTAGTAATAACATTTATATTGCATAACTGCTTGTAAATTACACTTCCTGAGATCATAGAACTGGAACAAGAAAAAATTCAGACCTTTAAAAGTACTGGTATTTCAGCCACTTGATTCTTAGAGATTTATCTCCAAGTGAGTGTGATTAATGGACTATCTACCAAGCTTGAAAAAGAATATGCAACACTCTACTGATGAACCTAAAACCAATAACAAGGGCTCACTAAACTGCTGAGGATGTTCTCTGGGAGTATCCTGGCTTGTTCCAGTGCAATTTCACAGTCAGAGAACCACACATGATCCAAGAGGTGTCAAGGCACCTGTCGCTTGACTAAGTATACGCTTCCTACAGGAATTAACATAAGCAAAATTGCTCCCATTGATGAAATGTGGACTGAAGTAGTAAAGCATGTACACAGAGGGAGAAGTGGGTAACATCTGGTAACAGTGAACACTAGATCACTGTTACTGCAATTGAAAAGTCAGCTCCTTAGATCCAATAAACGTTCATGCTTACAGTAGATACACCATATCTTCAACCTAAGGACACTTTGCGCTTCCAAGAAACAGCAGTAATAAAGTGTCACTCTACCTAGTTTACCAGGAGAGGAGTCAAACTGTAGTATGTGCTGCAGTATGCACCTGCCAGACTCAAACCTCAGCCTTCACCTGAAGTGTTACCTGAGGATTTACATTCAGGAAAAGCACCAGGACAAACATGTACTTACTGCAGTAAGCGATCAGGAGACTAGCCAGGATCATGATAGCCCAGAAAGTTGAGGACATGCTTGGCAAGGCATTGGCATCTTTCCTACTGCTTCTCCTGGGAGATGGAGCCATTGAAGCCACTTCCCCAGAAGGGGACAAAGTCAGACAGGTTCACCAGCCAGCTCTCCCCAGGACCGACGGCCTTTCTCCACACATAATCCCAAAGGCAAGCATGTTCCACAGCCGCACGCTCCTCAGCAGCAGCACGCTCCTGCGGCAGGACGCATCTTCCAGCCGGAAAGCCCAGGAGTCTCTAAGGCGTGCAGGAGTTCGCTGCGGCAACTGCAACCAGGTTTCCTCCTGCCGCCGTGGCGAGGTCCACCAGCGTCGGTGCGTCCTATGGGAACTCGGGGGCCTGGCGCTACGCCGAGCTTTGAAGACGTCCCACAAACGAGATTGCGGTTTGTTTTTGTTTTTTTTTTCGTCCTCCTCTCCTTCTTTTTTCAACGGGCAGAAGTTATCCCGCTCTCTCCTCGCTCTCCTCCCCCTCTCCCAGGAGAGGGGATCTCCTCAGACACGGACCGGGGCCGAGGCGGTGCCAGCAGCGGGGTGGCCTCTTCCGCCCCCCACCCGCCCAAGCGCCGCACTAGGGCGCCCACCGCCTGACGGCGCCGCGCCGCATGGCAGCCGCGGGGCCGGGGCACCAGGGAAGCCCGCCGCTACCTGCCGCCCGATCAACGCTTCATCGGACAGCGCCGCGGACGGGAGAGAGCGATCCCGCGGAAAAGACGGGGAGACCGGCGGTTCCCGCCAGCGGCCGGGGATGGAGACAGAGGGGAAGGACGGTCCGGTCCGCCAGGCAAAGCGGCGCCCCGCGGCGAGCCCAGCCTGCTCCCTTTCCCGGCCTGTCCCGCGGATTCGCGGCGAGCGGGACACTTCGCGCAGGGCAGTAGTGACAACGAGACGCTCTCCGCTGCGCAGCCACAGCTCCGCTCGTAATCTCTGCAGCAAGAGCGACGCTGGCCTTTCAAGTAAAAAAGGAGGAGGAGGAAGAGGAGGAGGAGGAGGAGGGACGGTGGTCACGCCCACAGGTGAAGAGCGCACGGAGCGGCCCTTCTCCCGGCGCCGCACCACCTGCGCGCATCCGCTGCAGCCGCGATCCCGCTCGCCGCCGCCTCCGCTGCGGGCGCGGTGCGGGGGCCCTTGGCGGTGGCGGCGAGTGGCGAGCTCAGAGGCTCGGAGAGGCGATGGGAGAGAAGGAGGCAGCGCCCGGCCAGAGCCCCCGGAGCTCCCGAGACGGCGTTTCCAAAGGAAGGGAGGGGGCCTGAGGCCTCTGCCTGCCCCATCACCTGCGCGGCTCAACATCTGTGGTCACAGAAACGTTTGTCGAATCACTAATGTTGGAAAGACCAGTAAGATCGTTTAGGTCAACTGTCAGCCCACGCCTGCAACCGCTGTAGAGCATTTCCCTCAGTGTGTCCTGTGCCCTTTTCTTGAAAATCTCTAGGGACAGTGACTCCATCACCTCCCTAGGCAATCTGTTGCAATGCCTCACCATACTTTGTGAGGACATTTTTTTCCTAATATCTAACCTGAACCTCCCCTAGCTTTACTGAAGGCCATTACTTCTCCCTATCACTCTTCACCTGAGAGAAGAGTCCTGCCCCACCTCACCACAACCTCCTTTCAAGCAGTTGTAGAGAGCAATGAGGTCTCCCCCGGGCCTTCTCCAGGCTGAACAATCCCAGCTCCCTCAGCTGCTCCCCATAAGAATTGTGTTCCTAATCTCATAGCTTCATTGCCCTCCTCTGGACAAGCTCCAGGGCCTTGATGTCTTTCTTGTAGTTTCCTCCTGTATTCATCTGTGGTCCTTATTGGGCACATGGTTTCTGTCACTAACGGGTCAGGGATGCGTTGGTGTGGAACTCTGCTTAGGGGCTCCAGTTCACCCATGCTCAGTAGTCTTCAGGGTAATAAAAAAACCTTGGTGTGTTAAAAGGGCCCAAATACTTGAGCCTTTCAATTTGAAGTCTCCATGGCAGTGTCTTCAAATTAATTTTTGAAGTTTTGTACAAAGTGGTCATGCTCTGGGTACAGGCAGGGATGGCAAACAAGAAGAGAAGCTAGGTCACAAAATATCCCAACCACATCCTCTTGTATATATTTAGTGTATTTGAACTTGGTTAGGTACTTGGAAATAAATTCAGTTTTGCATCATGAAAGTGTTGTCAATGTTGTGTCTGATCTTCTGATCTGATTTTCTACCAGGGTCATCTTCAACCTTAACTGTTAGGGCAGTAGGCTAACGTGTTCAACATATGCCTACATGTGTGTTCAAGTGTTCATGTGTGAACACAGAGATGTAGCTAACTATCACTTTGGTATACATATGCACAACATCCTCTCCCAGGATGTGGCCATACTTACAGTTGGAATTTATTTATATTACAGTTAAAAATCAGAATGTAACTTGCAAAGCTTTATTCTCCACCCCCATGTCATTTAAAAAAGCTTTTTTTATTATTTTGCATTTAGAGATTACATTTATGTAACACCTTCTATCCCTCACTTAGACACCAGATTTCCTTTGTAAGTCAATATAAATTCCATGCCTCCCTTGGTATCCTGAAGTATTAGTTCAATTTGATGTTATAAAGTACTACTGCATAATGAGTTTTTAAAAAGAATTGGACTTTCAAATTCCCTATTCTCAAAACAAATGTAAATAAGTATTAAGCAACAAAAATACCCCAGCATGATGTGCTACTGTTCATTGCAATTCCAGGACTAACATGTAAATTAAGCCATTTTCTGGATATGTGAAAAGAAAATTGATTTCCATTACACCTGCATGTATTGAACATACTGTTGAATTATATATTTTAACTATTACAAGAAGGAGAAAAACCATGAGTAACTTGATAAGAGATATATAGTGTGACATATAAATTAATAAACTTTAAAGCCATGAGGAATAGCTGCAGCTTTATATACGCTGCTATACCTTTCAGTATAGCCCATAGAATTTTATAAAGCAAATCTTATAGTTTGCCCATTAGTCTGTGGTTATACAAGGGGATTTCCCTTGGAAATACATCCAGTTTTAACTCTGAGGAAAGGGGAATCATGATTACTGTTCAACTAAATAAAGCCTGAAGCCTTGCAGAGGTGAAAGTATTGCCTTGCTAGTTCTGAAAATTGACATTGCTCACTTGAGACCAGGCTAACTCTGCTGGCTGAGAACTACTTGGCTACTCAGAAAGCAAGGTACTGCGCTCTGAGAACAAGGATTACTGAGATGGGGCCTACAAAGCTATCCACATAACAGTTTTATGTGAGGCATATTATGTTCTGATTTGTTTGTCAAAGACAAGCCTTAAAATTCCTTAAAAATAACTGTTGTTAGGAAGGTGTATGTTTTGAGCCCAAGCAATGGTCTGGCTGTTCTGCTATGTGGTGTATTGAGAAATAAGTCACATTAGAGGGACACTACTCATAGACTGAAATTCTACGTGGTGAAACAGTGGCAGGACATGACCTTAAAGTAATGTGTTTGTATCCTTCTTGACACGTCTTTGCCCATGGTCATTTTCAAGGATATTGTGTTATGCCTGATGCCTCTAATACTTTTTCCTCCAACAAATTCCCGGTATTCAAACCTGTGAGTGTGCAGAGATGTAGAAACAATGATTAAAGCGATAGACAGATGTCTGAAAGCAAGTATACCTTGAATAAGAAAACAGAAACCCACAGTAAAGGCTGTATGTCAAAGCTTGTCAGAAATCAGATTTATTCCCCTACAATCAGGGACACAGATCTCTTGTTCTGCCACTGCTGTTGGCAGAGTTAATGTCTACAAGGAAATTAAAATAATAGTTATGCTATTTATTAAGATAGGGTGTGCCATTGCTCTGACTAAAATCACAAGCAAAATGTTTCTATTGACTTCAAACAGGCATAGTTTGAAGTCTGTTGTATGCTGTATTTATGTGTCAGACAGTTTGTGCGTGATGTGTATACGCACCACTGCTTTCTGCTAGAATGTCAGACCTGTAAAGCATGTGCAGTGATGTTGACCTCTATTACAGGTGCAATCTCAGAGGATAAATCCTAACATACTGTTAGCACAGAGCATGTAGAGGGTAGAGGGAAAGAAACATTCTTCAGGTCTTACGCAGAGACCTTCTGTTCTTTCTGAGTTTTTTCATTTACTTTGATAAGAGAAATTTGAAGTAGATGGTGGTTAAATTCTGTGGCAGTGATTACATGCACATAGTAAAGAATTACTAACCAATAATATATGAGCCAATAATTGAGTTTTAGCTTTAGGTAAAGTGTTTTAGTTGATTCGAGGTTTTGATTAAAAAAAAAAAAAAAAAGGAATTTCTGCTTAAATGTGCTAACATTAAGAGAAATGCTTTTTTTACAATATTATAGACATGATTTAAATACAAAAAATCTATGTAACGTCAGCTTATTATTTTATCTCACCAGAATTTTCAGACAAAAGGCAGTGGAGGTTAATACTGAAAAAGTAACAAAAAAACCCAAAATATTTAAAGTTTTACACTATCACTGTAAACCAATTATCCAGTTATTTGCAAAGACAAACAGAAAAACATTAAAAAAAAAAGTGACAGTAAAAGTACACTGTCTATAGAAAACATTTTTGTACATGTCAGTACAACTGATCTGTTGTCAAAACATCCATATTATTGTTCTGACCAAATAGTATTCATAGAATTCACACTAAATTTCAGGAAAAGTCTGAAGGTGAACCATGCATTTTAATTTCAGTGTGTGACAAATGCAAGTCTACACTTTTAAGAAAAATAATGGCAATATGATATCTTATCAAAGTCTATGCACGTTTTTCAAGAAATCCTCACTGTAAATAACCAAGAAATTTAATGGTTTTGTTGTTGTTGTTGTTTTCTTAATATTTCATTCTCATTTAGATCCTTAAAATATTGAGCTAAAGAAACATAGTAACAGTTAATACGCAAAAGCAAACATGGCTCAAATGTCAGAACTAAGGTGCGGTTAAAATAAAATGCATCTCTTTATACCACTTACTAATAAAATATTTGTTTTTATGATGTGGGTGTGTAAGATTTCTTTGCACTGAAGTGCCTACAACTGATGTGGTAGATAAGTACGTTTCTGTAACTTAGCAACCTTCACTGTTTCAGAAAAAAAAAAAAAAAAACAGGTATCTGGAATGCTATTATTGAAATATTCTGGAGTTTAGCAAATTATCAAAGCATTCAGAAGTGAGTCATTACCTGAGCTACAGTGCTGCTATAGACTGGATCTGACAGTAATAGCAGAAATAACTAACTTGTATACAGAGGCAATTTAGGAAGTTATTTTTAAATATTAAGAAAAAGATCAGGACGTGACAAAATAAAACTAAAATAAATAAAAATTATTGTAGATCATTTTTGTTTCAGTATATAGATAAAGAATAGGAAGGATATGAGATCATAACTAACTGAGCAAATTTCTGTGTTGGAAATTATATAAACTATAAAATCTGTTGTGGGTTAGATCTAGTTTCATTTAATATATTAAAGTGAAAGGAACATTCAGTTGTCATTTTGAAAGTACAGAAAAACGTGTGT